TTAAATGCATGGGAGTTACAAAAAATGAAATAATACACACCATGCTCCTTAGCATCTAGGAGAGACTAAGTTAAGTGCTCGTGGGTGCGACCAACACATTGGGGCAATTCTACGAAAAATAAAGTGTGAAAGACACTTATGAAGGATTAGTGAATGATTTGCGAAGCTCAATCACCACTTAATCCACCTCCCCCCATGATTTCTCTTCATATCTAGATAGCCTAAGCCCAAAAATTTCATTGAAAGTTATAGTGGGTTCTCCCAAAAATTACCCGGATTGTAGGTATAAATAGGTTTTAAAATAATTTTAAAAGTACTTATAAATATAAATATATTTTTAGAAAATAAAATAATTAAGAAATTAATCAATTCATAATACATGAATGGTTAATAGAGATCGAGACCCACTGATCACCCCAATCGCCCCAGAATTTTTCAAAAACTAAACGGTTTGTATCTAATTTGAAAATATCATTATTACTAATTTAAATAATAATAAAATAATCAAATAATGTTCCCAAGACAGAAATTATGCCAAAACAGCCAAAATCAGTGGTCTGGAAATGGTTTCAAAATAAAATTACACATTTTTCTTGGAAAAGATCGATGGACGGTTGTTACGCAAGAAATCCGATTCTAAAACGGAAATATGTGCAATTTACAAGTGTTTAGAATAATCATAAAGAATATTTAAAAACTAACTGCTGTTTTACCTGTTCATTCGCCAGTCAACAGAAAACTTTATAAACATCAATTTTAGTCTAAAATAGTTTAAAATAAATGCCAGAATTTCAAAATACACAAAAACAAGTATAGCTGTGCATTGATAGTGACTGAAAAATAAAACGAAGGAGTTATGCAATTTTCAAAGTTAAAGACTATAACTAATAATTTCAAAATCAGGTTATTTGCTGTATTTTAAAAATACCTGCGGAATATCGAAAAATTATTTGAGCAAAACCCAACTTTCAAAGTGTGCGCAGAATTCAATTACGGTCAAATCAAGGTGTTGTTGTACAAAAAATCCAATTTCGAAACAGGAAAGTTATGAGTTTTTGGCAATATTAATGCCCCTCAAGAGGTAGTTTTAAAATAACTCGAAAATTAATTCGAATAATAATAATAAAAAATTATTAAAATGACCCTAATGACCCAAGAATTCCTGAAATTTAAAAAGAAGAAAAAAATATATTAATAATAATGTATAATAATAATAAATAAATAA